TATAGAATTTATTTGACAATAAAATTTTCTTATGTTATAAATTTTATAATGTAATTAAGAAAAAAATATTTTGTAATTTGTAGTAAATTATTTAAATATCTGGATAAAAATTGAAAAATGTACAATTACCACAACATACCATACATAATTATTAAATCATATAGTATATACAATATATACATATACAATAATAAGGTATTATATTATTCTTTCCCTTCAATATGCAAAAAATAAATTTCTAATTTCTTGCATGCAATGCGATTTACTTAAGGAATGAAGACAATATAACTCTTGCACTTCTGTAGGCCTATTCTGTAACTCTTTAACGACAATTTTACTAACTAGGGATGTTGCACAGATATTTTACATGGTATAAAACCTGCGCAACGACAGTATAACGATACCGAATTGTCGTTACAAGTTACAGAATAGGCCCACTGCATACGTACCTGTATGTTCCGTGACAATTGGCAGGAAACTAATAGACAAATATTGATTTATCTAGCAGAAACGAAGAATATAACAAGTTGGCGTTTCAGAGGTCTATGGATAGTAGCAAATTCTCACAAGTGCTGAGACACGCGTATATCTCTTTATATACATACGTACCTGTATGTTCCGTGACAATTGGCAGGAAACTAATAGACAAATATTGATTTATCTAGCAGATCTCGTGGCTACATACATATACCTATCATAGTTTTAAAAATTTATTGTGTTATTTTCTCTCTCTCTCTCTCTCTCATATCTAGTCTACCTTGTCCTTGTTAATACATGTTTTTTATAGGTATTAATTTACTCAATTTATCATTCATGAATACTTTCACATATTTGTATTTACATAATTAATATTTTATAACTAATATTTAATTAATGTGCCCGATAAGTATATATCCAATATTTGAATAAATAAATAAATAGTGAATATGAATATGAATTTTTTTGTATGAATAAATATCTTTTATTCGGCTTGAATGAATATGATAATAAATACTTTTTATTTTGCATTCACTCTCATTCTATGCAAAAAACCATATTATTTACTACATTCCACATAGCTCTATTAAAGCCATGCGCAAATTGATATAAAGATGTGTGTTTAATATAAATATAAAAACAAGTTGAACTGTGGAAAAATATATTTTATAAATTAAAGTATTTGCATTTCACGAATACATTAAAATTAAATCGATGTACAATGGCTCTAATGTGCACCAATGCGTGCAGTAATGCATACAATCGGATTCATTAAAAACATTGGCAATAACTTTCATTTTTAGTTTATGTTTTCTTTGAATGAATATGAACACTCGTAAAATAATCATAAAATATTTGTAAATAAATATTTTGAAAACCTACAACTTTGAAAATAAATCATGAATAAATATTTTTTAAATAATGATTTATAATTTACATTTATAATTTACGATTTATCAGAATTTAAATTATTGCTAAACTTTAAAATACTAATTAAAGCGACTTTAAATTAGGTATAGAATAACAATATTTCATATGAGATTCTAATATATTACCATTGTTGAAATTGTTCACACAAAAAATACGTTAGCATTCAAAATAAAATGTATAAGATAATATAGATTTTACTGAAATAATATTTATTGTAGTCTATAAAAAAGGATACACACAACAGAGAAAGAAGTGCACCTGTTAAAAGGTCGTGCGCCGACATCGAGAAGAAACAATAAAGGAAAAATGATGTTTCGCTCAGGGCTTTTTTCTCGTTAATAAATATATCCTTAAATACGAACTATAGAAACACGACATAATTAAAGAAATATAATTCCCTAGATTATAAAATATTCATAACCCAGCAATAATATTAATAACTATGTAAAAAAATAATAAAGCTCAGCATGTAATTAATAATGTCAGTTTTGTTTCAATACTTCTAGGTCTGAAACCAATGATGATTGATCAATTTCGCTAAGGTCCTAATCTATAGATATATACTTTTTCAATTAAATCAATCAAAATCAACGTGACGATTCATGTTATCAGCAGAAATATATAATAATTACATATTAGAGTCACTAAATTTTCTAATTATATATTGTATATACATTTATTTTACAGAAACAAATTTTCAACAATGTTCCTCATATATCATATAAATCATGACAGTGTGTACGATCGCGAAGCGTCACCATCGCAATTATAGTTCTCTCTTTTCTTTTATTATGATCACATATATCTACTCTTCTATTAACTTGGCTTAAGTACAAGATTAAGAATAACAGTCTTTACGCAAGCGATATAACAAGTATAATACTCTTATGACACTCGTATAAAAAGATTTTATCAGACCCAAATTTAAAAGACATTGTTATATTGTCTTACTGGAGAAAACAAGCGCGATAAGTAAAATTAATGTGATAAATAAAAATTTAATGATAGAGAAGTTTGATTTACAAAAAACTATTAAAAATTATTTTTTAAAACATTTGCAGGCACTGCAGGCGTAACGTGCAGGAAAATAGTAATTATTTTGTTATTATATAGAAAAAGTAAAAGTGCAAAAGGCGAAGATTTAATTCATCAATTATTGCTTCTTGTCTTATCACGTCAGAGTAATAAAAATAAAATATACATTTTGCTATTATTACAATTAATATAAATACCGATCACATCAGGGTTACGTTCTAAATCTTTATTCTAAGAATAAAAGAAGAAATTTATACAGTTCGTTCTTATTTTAAAATCTTATTTGAAATGTTAATATGGCTTTATTTTCTTTTTCCTTTTTAATAAATATGGCTCTACTTAAGACATCTAAAAACATTATTTAAGACGTCTTTGAAATAATTTAAAAATCGACTATGAGAATACCAAATTATAAATTAACACTTAGGCTGATATTCATAATCCATTCTTATTTTAAAACTTTCTTAAGTAACATATTATATGATTGGTTCGTGACATCTTAAGACTATACTAAAATGGTCTTAAACATAAAAATCGATTATGAATATCGGACTTACTTAGTATGCGTTTCACTTAACAATTGCATGCTTGCGTACAATACTCCATTCTTATTTAACATTTAGGACAACGAGAATAAACTAATGTTCGCGAGCATTGTTAAGTAGAATGCTTTAAAATAAAGTTTTAAAACGTAACCCAGAAAATCATTTTTTCTCATAAAAGAGAACATTTTAGCTCATGGTGCTAAGACGAGATCGTACTCTCACTTCACGTACATACAATCACATGTATTTCAATGCGGCAATATTATCAAGTGATTGACCAATTTCGCTAAGGTCCTAGTCTAGTTACATACTTTTTCAACTAAACCAATCAAAACTAACTCGACGATTCATATTATCATCAGAAATACATAATAATTACATATTAGAGTCACTAAATTTTCTAATTATATATCGTATATGCATTTATTTTACAGAACGGCCATAGCAAAAGATACTAAAAGGAAAAAAATACATCCTAATTAGTCTTCTGCTTGGTGTAATGCGGGAAGACTTAAAGCTTGAAGATTGAGTGCACTAAAAGTAAAATAAATATTGCGATATAAATAATAGATTTGTTTTCTATTAATGAACTTTCTATACTGATACACACCAATGCAATAAGTTAAAGTGAAATAAATATAGTTTATTTAATTTTAGTTTATTGTATTGTGTGCACCAGTTCAGAAGATTCTTTGATAAAAAACAGACCTATATAATCTTGTGCAATATTCATTCAAAATACATTTTTTCTCTATGTTAGCTAAAGAGACTAGATTAGGACCTTAAAAAGTATTATATGTATGTATGAAACTCTCTTCAATTGTCGAATAAGTATTTGTTAACACAATCGTAGACTCAGTTATCAATTATTTAACATAAACAATATTAAGTTAATATATGTATATCTCAATATGATATATTTTAAGGCCAAAACTTTAACCGTATTCATCGTTCTCGAGTCCCATTATCGTATACAAGCTTGCCAAAGATAACAGTAAGTCATACATGAACAATTAGCGATCCTTTGTGTTATAAACTAATCGTTATTATTCAACAATTTTGAAATTTATTAAAACATTTAATATATAGTACTACACAGGAATTATCGAGTCTTTTTCAATTAAAATTTTGAGACAATAAAGTAATAACGACTAGTATAAAATATAGAGACGATAATGCGCCCATGCGCACGTGCGCAATCTCTCTAGATGTTACATCTTGTAATTTTTAACTACATATATTAAACTCGATTGTCAGGGACGGACAGTGAGGTCATTAAACATAAATAAAAATGTAAAATAGCCTATTTGACACTATTGGCCCCTCCGAATAGTACGAGGTTAATTTTTTTCGACTATTCGCAGCGCGAATAGCAAGTCTTTGCAAAACAGAGACATACATATGTAGATACAACAACTTGAAAAAATACTATCCCATCGCTGCGAATAAAACGACTGTATTTAGAAAACACAACGGTTACGCAATTAAGTGAGTGAATTTAAAAATAATGTATAACTCTCTAATCATTATGATATGATATAATAGCAGCATTGTGAAAAAAATTATTAATGTATTTAAATGAAGAAAATCGCAAGAACAATTACAACTGATACTTTTATCATAGAGGGTCGCATGTTATCATACAAATATCAAAAGTATAAAAATTATTATGAATAAATAATTTCATTTACAGAAATCGAAAGAACATTTAGTTCGGAAGAAGACAGCAAATTTAAATGTATATTTATATTGTATCATATAAATATTCATAACATGGATTTCTTTTGATAAATTTTATAAATATTCATAATATAGATTTCTTTTGATAAATTTCCGAAAAATCGTTAGAATGATTTCATGTTTTATACGTTTAAAATACATGTTAAAATGTATTAACTGACCATAACGCGTTTACTCGTGCGTTTTCCAAGTACAGCCGTACGATGATTACGAGTGTAATACTTTTTATGATTCCATAATTGTTTATATCTCAATACGTATAAACACTTATGCACTCGATCACACGGACGATTGTATCTTCGGCGGAGGTAGCGTGGTCAATTAACCCATTGCCTTCTCAACTCATCCGCGATTAAGTAAGCACAGATAACTTCTTCTTTTCTCGTGATGCTAAAAACTAATTGACAAATAATTACAGAAAAGTAGAGGGAATGACGCTATACCTGCCACGAATTAAACATTTGCAATTTGGCGGGCGTGAGAAATGGGCTAATCGACGCGATTAACAGGTTTTAACTTCTTTAATTTATCTCTTTAATCGCTAAAAATGCTTAACAACGGGGATAACGATTTTTTGCCTCTCGAAATACATCTCGCGAGCAAGCTCTTAAGTTTATTGCTTCTTCTATTCTAGAACTGTCCCGTACATACGACTTCGGCGCTCAACGATAACGATTCCGCGAGCACCGTTCTGTACTTCGGATTGAAGTCTTCGCAAGAGAGAAGACAAATGAAATTTTAAAATTGATCAAACCTGCTGAGCGCCGAAGACATGACATCACAGTAAAACATTCAGCCGCTCTTTGTTCGTAGCCGATGATTTATTATTAGTATATCGAAAATACCGTGGCTATACGGCGGCGACGGCGGCGGCAGCGCAGCGCAATCTCTTTATCGACGATGTGATTAAAGTATTGACAATGTACAATAATGAAATAGACGCTCTTCGCTGTATAACGATTGATATATGAAAATAACAGAAAGCGATCGACGGTCTGTATTAAGCCGACGTTTAATCTAGTGCGTCGTCAAATGCTTCCCTTTATCCTTTCTACCTCTTTCACAGGCAGTATTAAAGCTAAGAATCTGCCACGAATAGCGTAGTACGTACGAGGGCGAAAGATTAATATTTCAGCTTTTCGGATTTCGTTTTGCGAATGACGACAATGATGAAAATACTGATTACTGATATTTTGGCAGCCGATGTTCGCTCTAAGCGAATAGTAATTTGTTATGCTCTATATTGGATAAGGAGAATACACTCTGTTTTTAGCAATGCACCTCCAGCTGCATACGGTCGATCCAGCTTTCTCTAGATTATCTATCTTAACGTGGATTGTCCAGTACCAAGTTTTATCTTCGTACTTTCAGGGACGTAAAAACCCGTATGCGTTAGCGAGCATACGAGTAAAAGAACCAATCAACGTCAAAAGCAGGTGGGCAGTGGTTTCTTAAGTTTTTAAGTTAATATTCGTATTAATATTTCACGCGGCCGATCGTCCTTTCGTCCTTTTTTCTGTTAAGCGGTCCATCACGAGGCACTTGGACAAATCGACTTCGAATTATTGCGGAGCCGGGCTATTTTTTCAAATATACGAATTATCATATCCAGTCATAATGTCATACATCATTGTCAAAAACCGGTGAGATACACCAGCAGTCACAAATCTCATGCGTCCAGTCTCACGCTTAAGTGGCACACGGGTGTTACTGCAAAAATACGAATAGTTTACCGCACGAATGCACAGAACACTCGATTTAGCCTCGATCTTGACGTTTCGCTGCTTAGATTTTCACCTGCGAATTACGTAGACGTTGATGGCGACGATAAGACCTGATCCGGTTGGTAATACCTCAGGCCATTTATCTATATAAAGAAAAAAAATTCCCGATGAAAATTATTTTTTTATTTATTTTTTTTTTATTTTTTCCATTTGAAATCACCATACCGTCATGTCGTATTCCGTGATGTACGCTGGAATCTCAAGTTGGTCAGGTGGCATAACTTCATAAAGATATTCTATTCCGGGTAAATTGTGAACTTTTTGTTTAATAGCTGGAGCCATGAAGGTCGTGAACCACCACGTCATCATCTATAACAAACGATCAGTTGCATTTATTTAATAAAAATTGGAGTTTCTTTAATAAAAAATTGTAATACAGAAGCAAGAGTAGAACTTGCATAAAGGTGATAGAACCATTATCGAATTTTAGTTATCGTTAAAGTATTCTCTAACAATTCACGCAAAAAATTGTCGATTGTGAAATTACTGTGTGGAAACGTATTTACTAACGAAGGCCAGGAAATTCGATACGATCGTTCTGAAGATGATTCGTCATGCATACACGTGGGAAGTGCAATAATAACGTTCATTAACAGGTGCGGTTTTGCGCCTTAAACAACGTTTATCAAGCCCTCATTATGTCAGTAATTACGCGATGATACTGTTACTAACCTTGGTCCAGAAGGTAGGATGAATAATGTAGAAATGTTTTAGATTCTTCTTATATCTGTAAAAAGAATTCTGTTTCAAGATCGCTATCAAATTTCTGCAAACAAGCGGAATCAAGTTGCATAGGTAACTAACTACTTGATGCAACTTGCCGTTGCATAACTGAAACCGGTAATTTAACAATATTTTAGTTTCAGTTTTTTCTCAGCAATGTAAAAAGAAATAAAAATCTTATTTTCATTCTATAGTGACATATAATACCGTCCAAATATTTTTTCTGTGCCTCACGTAATAAGAAAAAGAAACCTTTAAAAAATTATATTTTTTGTTGTTTTAATTTTTTTAGTTAATTAAATATTGTAAAAATATCGTAAGATTTTTTTAATAAATAATCGGAGAGAGAGAACTGTCACCAAACTAATGTCGCTCAAATATTTTATTTTATCCTGCACTTTGTACGTACCGTAAAAAGACGTGATTCTACATTAAAATGCGATCAATGCGTTCGATATCTCAAGCGTACAACTTACTTGTAGGGAAGCACATTGTAGACTTCGCGCAGCCAGTGTAAACTGGGGTAATTGCTGCTGGCCGTAAGGGTGTGGAAATACGCGATAACGTAGTCTCCCTTCACTATGGGATCCAACAATTGTATCAGGTACAGCAAGGCCTAAAATTATAAAAGATACGAAGATAATTAAAAAAACAATGTATTTCGCTAATCGATGATAAAAATAAACCGCGGCGACACATCCTTTAAAATAGTTTAAAATATATGGTAGAAATCCATATTGGATAAAAAAAATGCGTTGTCAAAGTAAAGTAGGGTAATAGGGATAAATATGTCCTAAAATAAACGCTGCGTAAATATTCTCGGGATCGATGAGACGTCAGCGACGAGATATACAGAATATGTTTCGCAAGGCTTTCCTACGTCGTGGAATATGTGATGTATTCCCTACAGATTCTATTGAAAGAATCAACGCTATTATGATTTCATCGTTTCACCTTCATGAGTAATCTGAAAGTTCGATCAATAATGTCGGAGATCGATAAATGTCGAAGAATTTCGGACGATCAACCCATAGCAATGTATATATCTTGCGTTAGCGTGAGAAATATAATAATAGAAACTTAGGCTGTGATATAGAATTGAACTGTAGTTCGAAATTAGATAAATAAAAAAATTATATAAATTCCATATTTATATAAAGATTATATAAATTACAAAATTATACAAATTTGTAGAAATCTGTTTATTGCGGAAATCTCTCTCTCTCTGTCTCTCTCTCTCTCTCTCTCTCTCTCTCTCTCGATGTATTATATGGTCTATAACGGAAGGATTAATTAATTATCAAGAGTACTAAGACAATTAACTAAAATCTCTCGGACATGCAAGTATATTTACAAAGTTTTTATGTATAGATATACATATTTAGCAAACACAAATTTAACTGTTATATAATATATACGTAAATGTACATGATTTACTATACGCTCTAAATTTTTTGGAGTGGAATCTGGCTCTAAAGAATAAAAATAAGTCAGTTTTGATAAAGAATGGCTTAATTTTTAATCTTGAAAAGAGTGATATTTCATTCTTCAGAGTGAATTCTAAAAGTTTTAGAGAGATTGTTATGTGTTGTAGTTATATAATCGGTATTTACTGGATAACAATTCTTATGTCGTCTATTAACAACAATTCTAATGTTACTTTATTATTATTTTATTAATTCTTTGTTCTTTTACTAACATAAAATTAATGATAATATTGTAAGAAAATAATGTGAACTTCTCAGTTATTCCACAAACATATTCTTATATGAATCAACTATGCGTGTCTGATTACAATCAAATAATATCATTACGCAACGTATATACAGCGATCGTTACTATTTCAATGTAAGACAATAAAAAAATTGAAATTTTTTCGCTTTTAGAATTTCCGTTTTAACAAGAGTTTTGAAGCGAAAAAAATGGAAAGTAAATCAGTGATGTCGTCAACAATACTGTTTGGGTCAAGTTGAAATGACGTCATGTTATTCCGTAAGTTGCAAAATGTGTCGCTACCTGAATTATGAACCTGGAGGAACACATTATTTCAAGTCGCTTTGTAACTAGCATTCTGACTGAGAGTAAACGTTTCATCTCGAAAGCGGGTCAGTGAATACGAGACAAAGGCGCAGAGGGAAGTATCGCGCAGATGTTTAAATTAACAAACTTAATGGAAAGTATTAATAGCGACTGATATATTACGTACATCGAATCTCTTGCCTTAGAACACGCACCTCACGCGAACCCTCTGTATACATGACGTTGTTTCAACAGTCGCTACATAGCAAGTGTATATTTTTAGCTGTACCGACGAATCTCTGTATGACGTTGTTGATATTCTTATCTCGATTAAAGCCAAAGTAACGAGGCATTCTAGATCACCGGTAGCAAATCGCAATCAACAAAAAAATTGGAGTAAGTGAAGCTGAAAGCTCTACTTTCTTGCTTCTCTTGAAAGTGGAACACGCTGTTAAATAATTTGCAATATACAAGTCACGGTGGTATGTTGACTTAAGAAACGTAGATATGTTGGTTTAAGAAATGAGTGTCTAAGCATTCGTGATTACACGAGTGATTACACCTTATTACACGAGTATGTAAGAATGATTTACGAAGTTGCACGTTTTCTTTTTGCATATACCAAAATATATACCGAGCTTTCTCGTTCGATCAAAGTCGTGAGTTTAAAAAATGCAAGTTCTATTTAACACAGTCCTCTTTTTGATTTAAGAAAATTGTTTTCACGGATTAACTTGCTTTGTGAGAATATATGAACGTTCATTTCATATTTTATTTAATTTGAACCGAGACATTTCCGTTGCTATCGATCATATTGGAAAATGTGTAAGGAAGAAATTATTGTATATATACAATATATATATACATATATATAGAAGGTCACGATTATTATGTATGAAGAAAGCTGACACAAGGTATCATAAGTTATTTCATTTTTTCGTCGATTGTAACGTGGCACAAATCCAAAGCAAAAATTTTAATAATTGTAATTTATACACCGAGAAAAAAAATCTTAATTTAAAAGAAATGTTTCTCTGCTCGTATTTAGAAAAAATTATTTCTTTGGTTCAATAAAAATTTCTTTAAAATAAAGATATTTTTTGTAATTTAAAAAAGTAGGATTTTAAAGTGAAGAAATGTCTTAATTTTAAAGAAATTTTCATTGATTCAATGAAATAATTTTTTCGAATACAAGTAAAAAAATATTTTTTTTAAATTGAGATATTTTTTTCTCAGTATACGATACTATAATGAGGTTTTTAAATTGTAGATTAAAAGACTTGTAAACTTTTCTCAATTACTGTAAGGCGGAAGTTTATTTGCATTCTATACTTCAAACAGAACACTTTACAACTCGGATGTCGTTTTCATAGCTATAATTGCGGATTAATATTTACGAAAAGGGAAAAATAAGGAACGTTTTGATGATCGATCGACTTTTTTGTTTTCTGATTGCCGACTATCTCACGTGCTGATATTCGTAAATCATTGTCGACGTATAAATGGGTTAATAGGGTGAGAAAGTTTCATTGAGGATGAGGGTGTATGTCGCGACGGCTACGTTGCAGTTCGTTCTCGCCCTTCCCATAGGGAAACTCGTTCCGCGGTCGGTCTATTTCTGGACGTGTAAATATCGATTCGCCACCCGCCGCTATATCTCACTACGTTCCGGCTATGAGTGGAGTAAGGATGAATCTGACGGGAAAAGGAAATGACACAACGGGACACAACTGGCGCAAAGATAGGTGCCAAATGATCAAGTCTTGGCCTGGACTCGACGCAATCGAGCGGTATGCGCGAATCTGTGATTCTATGCACGGACTCGATAGAGCCGGCACGTATCTAGAATAGAATATCTGGAAATGAGGTAGAGGAAAGTGGTGTAATTTTTCAACTGTGCCTGTAGCTGAAAGAGACATTTTTCCTATAATGATCTTGGAACGTTGCCGATGTCTGATAAGAACATTTGTAAACTAGTGGTACAAATTCTCTTATTATTGGCTATCGAGTTTTTTCAAGAGTTATTAAAAAAAGTAATTCGATCTTTTTATGAATTATGTGAGTGACATGAAAACATGAATGCATAACTTATTTAAAAAATTGTCTTTATCTGAAAAATAAGTTGTCATACAATTATATCTCGCTTTAACTTGTAAAGAAATGCTCCATAATATTTAATTAAAATGTGATGGTACAAAATAATATATAGCTTCAGTATATTTCAATTTTTCACACAAACACAGAAACCGATTATACGTATCGATAGAGAGTTAACATAAATATGTGATATTTTTTATAAGAATTAATTGAAGAAATGTATTTATCAGAAAAGTCAATAGTCAAAATTATGATGTTTGATCAAAACATGTTCATGTACAATAATGTCGTTTAAATGTTCACATATATGACAAGGACACAAAAATCAAAGACAACTTCAACAGAAGAATACTCTGTAAAACACTTTCTATTATACATTCCAAACGAATCGATTAAATTGTAAAGGGCAACGAAGAATGACTATAGAAAGGTGATATACAGCATTGAAATCTTCAATTATTTGAAAACTACTTTGTAGTAAGATAATTGCGATATAATTTTTATTTTACTTAAGAAGATTATACTTTCAACAATAGCATTTTGTGAAAATTCAATCGAGATAACGTTTCTACTGTAACGTTGCTGAGCAGCAGATTTTTTTGTAATCCGTAGCAACATTGATTTTCAGGGCACATGCAAAGGTTCTTACCTTATCTAGATTGATTTTGCTGGCCGGGAACCATTTGCCGACAAAAACCACCACCGGTCGACCTTGTCGATCCACACCACTCTGGTACAAACAACCAATCCCCGAGACCTCAGTCAGATCCTCCGTCTTTGCCCTCCTAAGAAGTCTTTCGTACCTACAAAAGAGCGATTTCATTTGCTTTATAATGCATTCGATACGCAAGTTTTTTTATTGGACTCTAAAATTGTTAGAGTAAATCTTATTTTCTTCATTCTCTAAAGAATGAAATCTCACTCTTAGGCTGGTATTCATAGTTCCATTCGTATAATTAAAACTGTTTTAAATTACAATCTTAAGATATGTCAAACTAATAAAACAGTCAAATTAGCATTTTTTTAAAGATATTACTTAAAACTGTCTTAAAATAAAAATCGATTATAAATATCGACTTTAAATTATGAAAATTGAATCATTCTTTTTCAAGACTAGCTTAATTTTCGTTCTTTAGAGTGAGATTTTATTGTAAAGGATTTAAAAAGTATATTAATATATTTTTTTTTCTCGGTAATATTTTATACTTATCATATGTTCGGTATACGAGTTTCTCTTTTAATATACTTATATTAATATATTGCTCGGTAATATTTTACGGACGCGTTTTGTTTTTTCAGGGTTACGATAATGCACGATAAGACAAACTAGGCTATACTTAGACGCTATAATGATCTTAATATGTTCCATTAATGGTTCTCAAATTTGCGCACGTATGCGTGGAAAATTTTGTAAATAATTAGTACCTGAGACCTTCAATAAAAAAAAAACAAAAACGTAATGTGCATCGGTTTTGGTTCGCCGAATTATTAATCTGAAATTATTTTTCAACACTAAGCAACTATCAAAAGAAATGTTACAGCGTTTTTCGTTGGCAGAATTGCCAGCAAATACGTACTCAGTGCACTTTAAAGGTAATATATATAAATTGGCGTAAGGATGTACGTTTAATAAAAATATAGAAACGCGAGTTAAACCGTGAAATATTGTACTATTTGACAACACACACAGATAAAGTATATATACATTCGGCATTTTATCAATTGAGATATCTCACTTTTATATTCAGATTAGATTAGTATACATCGGCTTTAATGCGCACTGAGTACTCATCAATTCTGCCAATGAGAAACACTATTCATTTAAAACGAAATCATCGATTTTGCGATGTTAATTCGCGACAAATTCGAAAGAAAACGCGGCGTAATGTGGAACGTGTCCGAAAGCGTTCCTCGAATTTTACAGTACGACCTGTCATCATGTAACTTTCATTACATTATTTTTTATCTCACAGAAAATCGTACTGCTCTTGCATAAGATAAATCGCAAACAGTGACACACATAAAAATACATTTTTGTGCAAAACGTACAAATTTCATGGAAGCGCGTTTATCACAACATCGAACTTTACGTTTTTAATATTTACTATTACAGTGCCCTTTCTACGTTTATTGCATTTTATTCTTTATTTGAGTAGTCAATCAAGAATAAAGCTAATATCAAATTTCATTTAAGTATATCGCAAATTGTCAGTCAATTTTTAAGCTCATTCTTTCAAAATTGCTGAACGCAAGTGAAGTAAATCAATGTGACAAAACCGTACTGTGCACGAATTCTTCGATTCTAGGTCGATCATTACCAGCTTCAATACATTTTTCAACAGTAACCGGTGTAGAAACGTATTGGACGAACGCCAATAAAGAACAGGGATCAATAACGAGCCAATAACGAAACCGAGATTCATCGAAATCGCTCTCGACACGAGGTTCGATGACGCGCGAGCAAATGACAAGTATTTTACTCTCAATACACACCGGTCCTCATCCTCGATGACATCCACCATGTCAATCATGACCATACTGATGTCACGTTCCTTTCGTGTGTGATTTCACCCTCCGCGATTTTTCCTTGATAAAAGAAAAAGAAGAAAAAAAAGAGAAATTCGATCAAGGCTCACTAGTAACCGTGAGTGCAACTGCCTTTTCTCGCGACATCCATCAAAAAAGAGTTGCGGTACTATGATGGACTGAAAAACCCACGCACAGTTCACGTCATTCGATCAGTGCACGGCCGAGGGAAGCGACGGAGAGGGATAACAGCAGTACGACGAGTCGCGGCAAACTGAACAAATTGAACCGAACCGAACCGTCTTGTTTAGAGAAGGAGAACGGCCTCTCGGCTGCTACGTCCGCGACAGCCACAATGACTACGACGTCTATAAGGTGCTCCGCACCGCGCCGGGTCCTGTCGAGGCATCGCACGGCGCCTGCCCGGCTTGCAACGCTGCGTGCTCGATACGCGCGAGGTGATCAGGCGGAGTAGGAGTCGCGAGCCCGCTGTTTAATTCGATCGCGATGTGTATTCCTTTAATTATGAGTAATGTTACCTCCCGTAATAACCTTGAATGACTGTCAACATTTGTCATTTTCCGTATTTTTTGTGTATATCATTTTTGTAATGGGAGACAGGAAACTGGAATGATCTATTCAAACGATTGTTCGCGCTATTTATATTCGCCAAGCATGCCCGCGTAATATTATAAATTAAAAAAAATTGTACACCATTTGCACTTCCACATATAAATTTTTATTTAAAAAAAAGACGAAGATTTTTAAAAAGTAAATTTTTAATAATAAATTATATCATTATTTATAAGGAATCATTCAATTTTTATTTTGTTATTCAGCACGATCTGATACTTTTGGACGATAAATTCGACGCAATTTAGAACTAATAACGAATTATTTGTAGTCAAGAACACAACTGTCTTAGTATGAATACAGACTTTAATACTTTCTTTGAAACACCCTTCCATGATGTAGATCATCTATTTTCGATCGAATTCATATTAAACAAGAATATTTGTTAATCTCTTTGTATAAATGTATATTTTTTAAAACAATTTTTTTTTAATGCTTTTATACATTAAACTATATATTTCCATCATTACAAGAAGCAATCTTGTTGCCAATATTCTAAGAATAAATTATTTTGTAAACCTAAAATATTAAACTCTTCATTTATATATAAATTAAAAAATATTAACGTGTCTAAAAGACACGCATTGTGTGTGTGACGATACATATCGACGAATTAGTTGAAACTTTTGTGCGCAATAGAAATATTTGGCATTCTTAATTAAGATTATCTTAGATTAAAAAAAATTAATAAATGCTTCACAGATTAATCAGGGCAAACGGCGTATCTCGCGAAATTTCAGATAACTCGTATAAGTGGAGAACTGCGTATAAGTGACAGAACAAATTCCATCATAATTTACATTAAAAATATGTATAAATAATAATTTTAATTAGATAAAATTGACAATTTTATTTAAAAACAAAGCAAGGTAATATACATGCATTGTTTCTCAAATTATTATTTCTAAAATTAGATAATAAATTACAAGGACGTTGCACGCGATTACATCAAGTTGTTGCTTAAGACTGCGGTTTCGTGACTTTGACCTCAATTAAACAGATTCAAGGTATCTTACCGAAAGTATGACATAAAAGTATTTCCTGATGCATTTAGATAGTTTTGTAAAATTTTAAATGAAGATAAAATTGTGTTTTAAATCAAAGAATATATGATAATATGCAAATAAAACTTTTGTCGCACTTGGAAATAAATTGATTGCATATCACAAAATTATTTGGATCAACATTATGTGCAATAGTATGCTACTGATATTATATAACACACCAGTACAATTGGTTATTATTTCATTAAAGCAAAAAATAGATTAGTCTACTTTGAAAAAGTCTCACTTAATGAATCACAACCATTAGTGTAATCAATGGCTCGAGTCATACATGGGTTTGTCGTGTCATTGTAGTAAACTCCACATATCACGATAAAATGACATCGATGACAATCTCAGCCTCAAAATAAACATTTAATACGATAGGAAATGTCAGATCTGAAACGACTGATTTATTTCTATGACGCAAATGATATTTCAGCGCTGAAATTAATTAGATAGAGGTATTACAAAGCAAACTTTTGTACGTGCGTCATAATCACTAAAATCGATCATTCGTAGACATAAACAATATTAAGTAAAAATCGACAAAATTAAACACATGTAAGTGGAAAAATATTCATGAAAAAATGTTAAAGTATGATTCTTCATACCTATAATAATATTTTTTTCGTGAATTTATACAATTTATACAAACTGTGTGCCGATTTATTTGTCCGTCTTGAAATACAGTCCCCCAAATCGAAGCTGGAGCACTAATATCATAAATTAATGTGACATGTCTCGGTGGTTGAATTGGAAGGAATCCTGTACGGAATACGGGAAATCTGGATTCGAATCGGCTCTAAGAGATATTATATTTAATATTTTTTGCAATAAAATATTTATTATCAAAATAATATTAAATTGCTTGTCTACTTATTTGATCGAATATCGTAGATATGACATATCGTTTTGTCAACTGTGATATATATAATATCGAATAATCAATAACTATTTGTGATAAACGTGCGTGAACATTATCACTGTTAATTATTAAAAACTAAATAATAATATTATATAAGAATTTTGTTACATAAAATTACTTATGTCTGAGTATATGAAGTTAGTGTCAAATGAAAAACTTTAAGAGAAAATAAAAATTTCCAATGACGCTTTTCATAGAAATTACACCAAGAATATATGTTAAGCTAATAACATTTGCATATTAATTAAAATTGCGTATTTTAATTAAGATAATTAATTAATATTAGTTGCTTTGCAAAAGTAAGTACTGAACTCTATAAAAAGAGCAATAAGTTCGAAAAAATTTGCGATAATTTCGACATTTGTGGAAAAAATACAGAAAATCAAACGTCCGAGGTTTTACATTGTTAAAATGATATGATAAACTGAATTACAACTGGCTGATGTCTTTTATATCCTAAAAAGTTTACTATTCATTTTACACATTCATAAATACAATGCATTTTTAATCTTTATGTCGATACAGAAGAAATCTTTTACTTATCGTACGGCAACATATTCGATTCTTGTATCGATAGGAGATACAGTTTTTCTGTATGAATACATTTTTCGTTTTACTGCGTGGATAAAGAAGAGAGAAACATTGCTCTCAAAAACTCATTAAAACTTTATGTGATAACGAAAAATCCAGCTTTACAATAATTATTGAATTTTCTGTTAAATAACGGTCAGCTAACTTCAAATTTATTGAAAAATTATGCAAATGATGAACTATAAATGTAAATTTGTCAAATTTCACAGAAATCAGATTGTGTATATCAGGTATCAGTCTGATATAATCTGAGAAAAAAATTAGAAAAAAGATAGATCTGATTATATCATCTCCGAACTTTTAAAATAAACAACGTCTTTCCACCATTAGTAATGTATCGCATATTATTTCAATCTGACCACAAAAATAAACTCGTGTCAGCTTTTTGATTTAAACATGCTGATTACTCATAGCTACTGTCCATTAACTTATTACAAAATTAATTACAATGTTAAATGATATTATTGCAAAATTATTTCGAAAGTTAGAAAGAAAGACCCAAGTTTGACTTTTATAGACTTTTTTTTAACTTTGAATTATTATTCTAGAGTTTTACTTACTTTAAAAATTAATCTTGTTTCTATAAAAAAAAACTTATATATTGTTTAAACAATCCTAACGAGATTGTGTGTTAAAAACTATCTCACAAATTCGTACCTTTCTTTATGTTGCATTTGCTTGAGCATAATATCCGCTAGAGGATCGGCAGGTCTCTCTCCCAAAAGTCTCTGTCGGTCCAAATCACCTTGCATTTGCGCAAAAGCATGCTCACCGATATTAACAGAAGTTTCCAATTGTGTTGAAAGTTCCACTGTATCGTCGCCTGTAAAAGTGCAATGTGTTTTTCAAAACTATATCATATTAAACACTTGTGTATATATATAGCTACAATATTACATTGAAGTAATTCATTACCGTGTAAAGCGTGCTGAGGATTGTCAATAATTCTGATTTGTCTATCCGGAAGTAAAGGTTCTCCATCCATGCCACCAATATCATTCGGTAACTGCCAGCAAGCGTTATCTTGCTCTGCCAAATTTCGAGGAAAATAAAGCGGCAGAAGAACTTCATATATTCCAAGATCGCATGGCTCTAATACAAATATAACGCACGTTAACGAATCGTATTGCTCCAGAAATCTACGTACAGTTCCTAGAATGGGAGAAATCATTTATTTAGCACATACTGTATGTATACATAAAGTATGCTTAAATTAGCACAAATACTCGCTGCAGTGTACTTACTGAGAGCTATATGCGCTCCTGCATCCGGAGGATAATTTCTCCGTATCGAATTTATTACAGGTAGAGCAATAGTACGCAATCCCATCTCTCTTGCCTTTTGTAAAACATTTCTACGATAAAGAAAATTATATTGTAACATCAGAAGGCGCTTAATTCTTTTGCTACGAAAACCTATCTAGTAGTTATCTAAAAACCTATCCTTTATACGAACGACTATAATAAAGCGCGCTCGCAAATAACTAGTCCAAAATAATAATATAAAAATAATTCTTTGCGGCATTGTATTACAAAAATAAATGTCGAGGTATTATTACAATGTGCAACAGCATATGTTTCGTTATAAAATATATTATACATAACTTTATTAATTTTAAGTTCTTCTTAATGTATATTATATCTTATATAATAAAGTAATATCGCTCATAAAAATAAAATTCAATAATTTAGAATGATTACGAGCCAAAACAATGTTGTTTAATTTCAAGTATAATAAATAAAAATATAAATATAAATAAAATTTAAATTTAAAGATAATAAGATTTTTTGTATTCATTAATACAAGTATCTTCTATACGATTCATAAAACGTTAAAAAGGGGTTACTTTTGTTCCACGCACAACTTTAAAATAGTCAAACGTGTATTTGACCGCCCATAACGTCATCAATTTTAATCGGATTAACTTATCAGAGAGTTTTTTAAAATATTTTACTTGTAAAAAAATATCAAAACTCAAAAATAAATTTTTTTAAATTTCTGATTGAGTTTGACCCCAAGCAGTTTTGAAATAGAAACATTTGTGAGATAATGGATATTTTTTAAAATGTTATATGAGACGAAAATCGAGCAGGTAGCGAAAGGTCGAGTCTATTGTGTTCATTTCAATGGACCGGTTTCTAACCTATTGTGTTGGGATTTAGGCTAATCCCCAACTTTAGGATAAAAATTGGAGAAACTTAAATGAAGTAAAAACTTTGGCTATTACAATTAGTTTTACATGCATAATATTTGTTATAAATATTTAAATTTGAGAATCAATTTATTTAAAGGTATTTTTCTGAAAATTATGTTTACAAAATTTTGAGAAATTTTTATAAAAAAAAAATCGACTTGATCGATTAATTTGAAATTTTACATAATTATTATTGATACTTTTTGCAGTTCATTGACTACAATTTGTTTATATTTATCAATTATTTAATCCTTTTTTAAATAAAAATAGTGAGGAATGCTAAAAATTAAAACATGATTTTCGTTTTGCCGCTATATTTTGTTGAATTTTAATATTTTAATTTAAATATTGAGTAAGTGCGTATCGATGTATTATACATAGAATACTGATATCAAAAAATTAGAATATTTTAATTACAGAATTATCGAAATTTTCTCGCGAGATTTTTATGTCATTTTTAAGATAACATAAATAAATACTAAAATATTTATATGCATAAATAGAATTTTTTGCTTAGTCCATAGCAAAAAAAGATTAAAATTAATTTATATGTTTCTTCTTTTAAGAGAATTCATTTTTAGCCTATTTTTAATAATGTCAAAATAAAAATAAAAATAATATTTATGCTTGTCTACATATATTAAACGTTTAAATTACCTATAGCAACAATGTAACGTATTTTGCGCAGCTGTTTGATATTTTACGTTGTAAACTGGTCCAACAGTATGAATAATGAAACGAGCAGGTAATCCGTGACCTTGTGTAACTCTCACTTCACCAGTTCTGCACTCTGTAATTAAAATTTGGATAATTAATATTTTGTTGAGACAAGCTCCAACATTGTCGACACACGTGTCAAAATACGAACCTTTTATTTCATTAAATATTTCTATCTTGAGTGCAGAACCGGCTCGACTAAATATTTTTTGGCACGTAATACTATTATCATCCATTGTCTCGTTCGTAGGATTTACGACTGCATCTACTTGTAATATTGAGATATCTCCAGTCCTGAAACAGTTTATGAAGCATTAATGTATGGCATAGTTTTTATTATTAACTTAATAGAACGTAACTCTGCAATAATTAAAAAAAAAACTTTAATGAGGAAATTAAAAATTTGTCTAAAGTCTCACCATAGCGCGAGCTTGTTGTTAAGCGACGGTTGATAAGGGAAAGGACTTATGGTATGATGCGGTGTTTCCCGAATAGAATCAGAGTAATCCGTGTATCGATGCTGGTTGGGATAATCAGCCCATCGTTTTAATACTGCCGGCTCCACGATGTCCTGGGCGATACCCAACGGTTCCATCAGCCTCATCCAGCTGAAAATCGTACCATACGCTAGAGCGGTTACGTCGCTTTGTCTATACCCCGACGAAAAACGGAGTAGCGTCCCTTTGTTTTCCTATCAGCTGTTTCAAGCCTAACCTCACCTCATTTCTGCCATTTCTCTGCCTGACGTGCGTCATACGCGGCGCGGTCATTGACCCGGAAAGAGTACGTGTAACATACAGCTCAGCTGACTAATATATTTGACGCGATAATCAATACAAAATTTATACATTACATCTTGCAAATAGAATTATTTAATAAGAGAATAATTACTCTTATACATGCCTGAAGTTTACATTTAATATTTTATGTAATAATGTAAATAATATAAAACTTAATATTATTTTAACAACTTGAGATTCTTCAAGAAAGAGAAAGAATTTTCAGTTCTCGTTTTAGCTAAAATTTTTAGGGTGTTTTATTAAATTAAATTTCCATAGCGCAGAGATCAATAGTCGCGAGGTATTCTATATAAAAACGCGGTGTTACTTTTGGACTATATTATTTGAGCTATTTCGAACGCGTGCTCATTCGATTCTCGTAACGAAAGTGTCGTGTTAGTGCAGTCGGTATTTCATCGTATATTTCTAAAAATAAATAAAGTTCCGTCGATAAAAATGTGGGCCGCGCATCACGGGCAAGGAGAACGAAGCTCGACCAAGGACGCAGATCCGATCGAGCATGCTTCGAAAGTACAAGCTCAGAGTTTAGCTCGTCGCGTATCAGAACCATTAATCCTTTCAGAAGATACACGGATTTAATTCTATATAAAATTAAAAGACAAAGGAAATAAATTATGAACATGTACTTTGCCAATAGAATTGAGAAAGCAGTATTATGCCCAATTTCTTTACTTCCAGGTAAGTAATGGATAACTTTATCCAGGAGATATCTCCATTGTATTCTGGGAGATATCTTCTGGATAAAGGTTATCTATAGAGGTGAAGAAATTGAGCATTAATCGGTTTAGCTGCTGAGAGACTCATTTCGTGGACTCGTAATTGTATCTCCGTACTTTTTGCAAGAGGTATAAAGTAAGGAAGAGATATAAGGTCATAAATGATTGTTCAATGTACAGGCAATATCTAATACAGAATTGTATGTTACGCTTTAATGCAAATTCTTGCGCGATCGAACGCTGCTTCTAGCTGTCCTCTGTTATCTAATATCTTGTTCGTCAGAATTATAAGAGCAAAAATGGAGAAATACATTTGTAATGCTCGTAATTTATAAATATATAGTATATCATACAAATCGATATAAGGACATGATCACACGTTATGTGATATTTTGATCAAACTTCTGATTAACTCATCAAATAATAGCGAGAATAGTAGTAACTGATCAATATGGATAGAATTATTATTATTTTTAACATAAGAGAGAAATATAAAATTAAAGAGAGGAGAGGGGGATAAATTATATATTATCGAAATTTTGTTGCAAATAATTTCGTCAGTTGTATCAATTGACGATAAAGTTAATTGAAGTTTGGTCAAAGTCGCTTTAGAAGTTCGTTAAATTATAGCATTTGAGTAACTTAACCAACTTCTAATAGGCTTAAGTTGGATAGTTAGAGTTCCTATTATACGAAAGTACTCTCCATCTTTGCTCTACATAATAGTTCTAATAACTCTAATACTGATAATACTAATAATGTCTTATAATGCTATTTACAGCAAAAATTTATTCTGCACTTATTGCTTCCTTCTCATAATTTATAATGTTCTTTTATTTTCATTGCTTTGTTCGTTGGTGTTGGATTGAATTATTTGGAGCTGTGCATGCAGATAGCAGGATGTGCACCGCCGATAATGGCGAAGAGACGGGAGACTGGCGCCGTCTGGCCTCAAGCGGATCTTAAGCGTTCTGCAAATCCATTAACGAACAGGACCGTCAACCTCGATACAATAGCCAGAATAATTCACATTTACTCACGTAAGAGAGTTTCACCAATCTATATTGGTATAAAAAAATACCATCGCTTGTATTTATATCTCGAAGCGATAAAACGACGCGGATATTATGAAACATTTACTTCTTCACTCCGTTAAAGAGTCAAAGTAATCTCGATAAATTGAGTTGGATATTGAATCCACACATTATCATCACTTATTCAAAATTTAGCGATAATTCGGACAAGACATAAATTTATTCGATCGCATCGACAAACAAATTACAATAGTAAAAATAACGAGTTATATTAAAATACAAAGAGGAAATAACAAACGTAACAATAAATATTTATTATAAATTTGCTGATAACTCAAATAAAACTCAAATTTAAAGAGAAAAGTTAGCACAAATATCTTGAAGATAAAATGTTTATAAAATTCTCAGTAAGGGAATATCTATATATTTATAGTAGATACGAGAGAAATAAAAATATTGTTTCGTGAAAATGCATATAGAAACAGTTTGAAATTTAAAATAAAAACATAAGATTTATATTGTAAAACAAAAAACTAACTAAATAGTTAAAAATAAAATTTCAACGAGCACTTGATTGAATCGTATGACGATAATAAGAAAATAATTTAAATTCTCTCTTTCTCTCTCTCTCTTAGGATGAAAACTTAATTTTAACATATAGATTTAACTTTTTGGAATATCCTGTATTGGTTCAGAATTGTCAGTTTTTACATCACATAAATATTTACTTACAATAATTAAATATTAACTTAATAAAACAAATGGTGATTAAATTGAATTAATAATTCGTGTACCAAATAAATATATGTTTACATTTAATAAATATTTATAGTTAGTCCCATTTAAATAAATATTTATTAAAATTTAATACATTTTCTTAGTACAATAATGTGAGCCATGTTAAATTACATAGTTTTAGAAAGAAGACTTCAATCTCAGTTATGAGATGATTGATGAATCCAACCACGTGTATGTAATTGTGTTAAGAATGAGAGGGTTAAGTCCACGGGATAATTCACAATTTACGTAATATAGCTACGTCAATTCTCTTATCTAACTATAAACAGCCTCGCATACGGCTGACCGATCAATCGATACTTAACTCCGGACTCGCGCGAACCGAACTCTCGTTTTTACTGCTAATATGTTCGTCATCTCATTCGTCGTATCACCCGATTTCAAACAGAGATCAGAAATCGACGGATTTGAATATCGTAGTCTTATATCGGCTGCCCCAATTCAATATACCCGAGATATCTTTAGACAGCAAAATTTAGAGATGACGTAAATTTAAGCTCTTTAATGGAACATATACGGTCTCGATTAAACGATGTTATTATTTCACTGTTTAGTATTAAATATAGAAATTTAATATTTAATATTGTTATTAATATTGCAGTATTAATATAAATTAAATGTCATCAATTTTAATTAAAACAATGGCAGATAATTGACAATTATACTATTTGTTATCTCATCGTTTAAAAATGTCTCGTTACATTAGTGCGGCGAAGTGCACCCGTTATGATGCATGAAGGCGCACGAAGTTGTAAAGTTACGGAAGCGAGCGGGGTTTGTGCGTTTAACGACCTTACGTCTAATAATTTCATAGCGGCCGATAACATTGTCGAGTACAAAGAGGGTCAAAGCCGTTCGATAAATTCAGCTTCAGAAATAGATTCGAAGCACAACATACATAAGTAATGTGTCAGCTTGCGACAAATCGGTGCAACGCAAAAGTCACTACCGCCGATGCTGAGACAGTTTAATAACGGCTTCGTATGCGAGGTTCGATTTTGTCGTTGGGCACATCGAACGAACGAAGGAACGCATCGATGCACCGTTGAAGCCTTTTCTAGTTCAGCGTTACATGTATTCCGCAACACGAGAGAGGCTTCTAAACGAATCCTTTGTGCGCGCATAGTCTCCAGCGAAGTGAAAGAGCTCGAAAAATCTCAAATAATAAATCGATGTAATCAGCATGGTTGTTTTCAGAAAGGTATTTAAATTGTCCTTGTGTCTCCACTGAATGATCATTTAATACAAAAAAATACGCAAATATAATACGATAATTCATTAGAAATAACGAATAATTAAAATTATTGATCCTCTACTGTAGATACATTTTGATCTTGATATCAAAAGAACAGATAACAAATCGCGTGTGATTTTTTCTCATATCATATGTGCAGGCAAATTAATTCTTTTCGCACTGTTCGCATTCACGTTCGACAGAATAAATTAATAAAATATACTGAAAGCATCCCTCTCTTGTCCTCTTTAATGAACGTATAATTCAATCTATATGTGTCCTACATTTTCAGCGAAAATGAATCTTATCACGGTTAATCAAGATTTATAGCTGTCTATTAATGCACATGAAATGAGAATCTTCAGCGCATTCCACGAATTTATTTCATCGGGCACAAGTCATCGTAAACGAAATAATTGAAAATTTTGCATTTTTATTAGTGCAGAAAAATATTCATACTCTTTAAATCTTTTGGACTGAAATCTTACTCCAAAACACTGAAAATTACATCAGTTTTGGAAAAAAGTAAAAATATTTTTATTCTCAAACGAGAATAGCAGATTTTTTTGGGAGTGAGTGAGATTCCATTCTTTTAAAGCACAATTCCATTTTTTGGAAAGAATGTTACTCCAAGGAATAAAGTCACGCCCAAAAAAGGAATGCGATTTCATCAAAATGTTAGAGCAATATCGAAATGCATAAACTATTTTAAGTTTATTAATAGTTTATTAGCGTCCGGTTATCTTTCCGTCTACGACAAAGGAGTGGCAGATCTGGTTGATAACATTCATCTGATGATCCCCTCTCAGTTTACATATTGATAAAAGCTGCCGGTACGTTTTATTCATAATGATATTTCTTCGATACGTAACCAAGATAAAGTTTGTAGTCTTACGCTAAAAAGTCGACTGATTATAGAGAAAAGGCTTGTGTTTACTTTATCTACACTATTAGTTGTTTAAAGTGTTTCTAAAAAAATTCCATATACTATCATGTATAGAATGCATAGAGTACACAGTAAAAATT